CCAACACTGAAATGTGATATTGTAAAATGTCTGTCCTTCCTTGAAATTCACATCTGCCCTGTGATCCAGGGGCACTCATGACAGTCTGGTCTAATTGTTAACGTGTCAAGTCTACATGTTGCCCTATCCGAGTTGGAGTCCCACCGGGGATACTGATGAGGCACGTTTAGGCGAAATCAAAACTGCAGTTCATTCATGTTTTCATTTTGGAAAGTAAGGTTATGCGAAATTCACTGGAAGCAAGAGGCTTATTCGCATGATTGGGAAAAATGCAACTACAAGTTATTATTCGAATTAAGTATTGTTTTCGTGACTACCACTAAATCAGTAATATGAGATGTATTTACCCAATTTCGTTTAAGGTGATGAAGGACTGGTAGATGAAGAATTTTCCCACAATGATACAAGTTGAGCTGACGCTTCCATTGAATTTCACATAGCCTTACTTTCATAAAAGTTGTTCCTATCCAGGCACCAGTGGACTGCAGTTTAGACCTCGCATCGGTCTTATCAACACCCTCAGCGGGAGTCGAACCGCGACAGTGCAGGATGGGAGCTTGAAACGCTAACCACTCAGCTACGCTACCACGAGTGCCCTTGGGTCACAGGGCAAATGTGAATTTCAAGTAAGGCCAGGCCTTTTGTCATATCATATTCTTTAGGTGGAATTGTCCATGAAGCAAACGTATATCTGCTACCAGTCCTTCATCAACGAAATTTGGGTGAATACATCTCATATTACAAGTTATTACTTACTCAAACGAAATAGTGTGAATACATCTCTTGTCTCTATTTTGACGACGGAACATACGCTAGTCTACAATCTACCGTAAATCGTGGAAGGGTCAGACCATCTGGTCAAGACTGTCTTAATTCTGAGCACTTGAGCTGGTACTTGCTCTGGTCAAGCATCGAGGTGAAGAGTTGCCAATGGCCTCAATGACAATGACATTTCCGAGACGCAACCTGTTGACGCAAGTGCCTTAGGGAGAATGAAACCATTAACTGGAGCCCCTAAATCCTCAGATGAGATAGGATTATAATTCGACCACCTTAATGGGAAGTTTGCGCATCTCTCTGCTGTTTGATGGGACCTCAACCACACAATTAAATCCAGATTCAGATGCATTTTAATTGCCTTCATTTGCACCTCCCCCTCCCTTTTCCCGAGTTCCTTTGAACCACAGTCGACGACCCAGGCCACCGTATTAGCAACCAGTTTCGCTGAAATGGCCTTAACAGTTGAAGTCAAGGCTTTTAGGACAGCCTCCCTCCTGTTTATGCACTTGAGGCCGACCAGGTTACACCTTTTGCCGCCATTTTACGGCCTCAACCCAGCAACTATACCAACCCCAGTATGCCCTAGTGTTGTCATGGCCGAGGCCGGAGAGCGGAGAGAGCGAGGGCGGGGAAAAGGGCTCACAGGATGTGGACGATACCGGATCGTGCGACCTTGTTCGCATATCAATGGGACAGGGCAAAAGGAACCGGACTGGAAAGTATGCATCTGATGCGATAGTAATACGTGACCATACCGTCTGAAAATAATGGTATCAATATTATAAATTGCCTGAAAGTGTGAAGATCACGTGTGAATGCGCTCATGTGAACGTGTATTCATGTGGATGTTGAGGATGGTTCGGAAGTACGCGAAAAAGGGGTGTAGGAACGCCAAACTTTATCTGTCCAGCTCCTATAGGCTACACTCTGCTGTTGGTGGTGATGGGGGACTATATCATACCACCACCAAAAGCAAGTACACTTTCTCACCTGGACAGGTCTCCCGAGTCACTCGCACGTGGCAATGGGACCAAGGTAACCATACTGCTTTTTAACCAACTTGCACAAGTGTACCGTCAATAAAATGGCCCGAATTTTCAGAGCCGCCATATGGTAAGTAGCTAAATCCCAAAGAGACTACATGAAATGTTTGGGGATAGTCCAGTCGCTATGGCGAGAGCCGGGCTGGTTGAGGGGATGGCCTAGTTTATGCGATTGGATACAACTGGGAAACGAGGTTGGCGAAACGATTACCTTTACGCTGGACCCAACCTGGTAGGGAAGCAAACGGTTTGACTCTAAAGGCGTGAAAACTTGATGAGAATGGTAT